TGTGGATGCTTGGCTCAAGCTTCCAGGGACAAGAATATGAGGACCATGCATGGAAACCCAGAGTTTTCCCTTACGTGGAGTGGGGAGCTCCTTCATGGCACTCTGCCTCTTTGGCCTGGCTGGACACTTTAAGCCTGATGCATTGAGCTGTAGAAGACAAAAATCATGTCCCCTAAGTCTTCATTCCTTACAGGACTCAGGATCCTCTGGGTGCTCATTTATGAATTCAACAGAAGATTTCAGATTGTATTGCCCAGGGAGGGGACAAGAGCTCAAGATCATGGACCCAAGTCCTGCCTTCACTGCTTAGTAGCCCTGTAACCTAGGATAAGTTATTTAATTTCTCTGAACTTCAGTTTCCTCCTCTGTAAAAGGAATATAAAAATAATAGCTCCTTCACGGAAGATTAAACAATAAAGTAAATGGAAATGATGCCCCATGGAGCCTGGCATATGGTAAACACTGGAAAGTTTGGCAGCTACATTGGACTGATACTGAGCCTGTTTTTAGCTAAAATCCAAGGGCCTTTCACGTTGACTGAGAACACTTGCTTTGACTAAGCTTCATTCTGTCATTTCAGCCCATTAATCCACCCTGTCAATATCGATCTGTCACCATACACTGCTAGCCCACCTTGCTTTGGCATCTGTAAATCCTATAACACGCCTTCGCAACAGTTCTTGGAGTTCTCTCTCCAGCCTGATGTCGGCACAGTACTCGAGACTTTTTCAGCAATCCGGTTGCCACTCAGGTTATCAACTGTGCTGTCTTCTAGCCCACACCAGCTCCGATGAGTGAGAATTTCTTCCCCTCATAAATTTTGAAAACTCCAAGAAGAAAGTGAAATTATATTGAATTACTTCTGTTTAGAATGCCAGGGAAATTAGAAAACCTTTTTAAAGCTAACAATTAAAAGACTGTTCGACATCAAATTGAAGCCCTTGACAAACACACATTTCATTTATCCAGAACATTCCCTCCTGGGGAATTGTGTCAGTCCTCCGCCATACCAGAACATGCGGTCCTTCTGCAGAGACTTCTGTGTTTTTCCATGAGGTCTGTGCCTTCTCTTTCCTATTTCTCTATTCTATTCTCATTTAGAACAGAAATTTCTAAATGTCAGGAGCCTTCTCTGTAGTTCCATATCTCTCCTTAACTCCTGAGTTCCCGTGAGAAAAGGTAATTTAGGATTTGCACATAACTCTTAATGCCTGCTGGCTGACAAGTTATTATCACAAAAAATGATCCTTTATATGTACTTGTGTTGGTCAAGTTTAAGGTCACCTTGAATGGGCCAGGAAGTGCCTGGATTAAACACTTTCTCAGTATTTCTGCAAGGACATTTCTAGAAGTAGCTAGCATCTGAGTCTCAACTCAGTAAATCAGATGGCCCTCCCCAGTGTGAACAGTCATCATCCAATCCACTGAGGGCCTTCAGAGGACAAAGAAAAGGAGGAAGCTGGGATTTGACCATTTTTTCAGCTTCACTTTTTGAGCTGGGACATCTCATTTTATCTTCTGCCCTTGGACTGGGATTTGCATTGGACTACCCCCTGGTTCTCAGGCCTTTGGACTCGCACTGAGTTTCAGCATGGGTATTCCTGGGTCACCAGCATGCATATGACAGATCACAGAATGTCTCAAGCCTCCACAACCAAGTAAGCCAACTCCTGGTAATCTATCTATAATCTATATTTACCTAACTATATCCACCTTGTTCTTTTTTTTTTTTGAGACAGGGTCTCACTATGTAGTTAAGACTGACCTGGAACTTACTATGTAGCCCAGGCTGGTCTCAAACTCACAGTGATCCTCCTGCCTCAGCCTCCTGAGTGCTGGGATTATAGGCGTGCACAACCACGCCCGGCAACCTTGTTCTTCAATTAGTTCTGTTCCTATGCAGAGCCTGTAGTAATGATCACTCAGAGGGGCCAGAAATGAGCTTCCAGAGAAACCACGCCCGGCAACCTTGTTCTTCAATTAGTTCTGTTCCTATGCAGAGCCTGTAGTAATGATCACTCAGAGGGGCCAGAAATGAGCTTCCAGAGGGCAGCAATTGATTCACTTTTTGTCATCCTTGGTGTACTGTACCATCCCCACACTGCACACAGTAGATGCAGAACTCAGAAAACAATTTTCAGAATGTTGAGTGAATAACATGAGGGACAAAGGCCACAATCCGAAAGCCACACCAATCCTATTCACACAGCTTTCATGAAGCAATTATATAATTTACACATCATCAAGAAAACCTGTACCCAAGAACGCTGTTGCAAGGGTGGCACTGGGCTGCACAGAGGGTAGATGACAATGGTACAAATCCAGAGGGGGTGAATTTTGGAGGACAAAACACCATACCCACAGAAGGTTTATACCTCATGCTGTATGATGTTTTAAAAGATAGGGGCATCTAATAGGCTCAAAGGGAAGGGATCAGCACTTTAAACTGAGTAAAGCTTTAGAAGTTGGAAGAACTGGAGAGCTTTTTGTTTTTTTAAAGACAGAGCCTCACAATGTAGTCCAGGTTGGCCTTGAACTCATGGTGATCCTCTTGCCTTGGCCTTCTGAGATCTGGGGTTACAGATGTGTGCCACCACTCTTGGATTTTCCAAGGTGGACAAATGGCCTGAGTCCTGGCAAGTGGTCAGCACAAGCTGGGATGAAATATGACATGAGGGGTTCCTGAGGAGCAGCGGCCTAGTTTTCCTCTGAGCCACAGCACACAGTGGTAGGGAGCTGGCATATTTCCTGCAAAGTTTACTGCTCACAAAGGACTGTAAACCAATGCCCCGCATTTTACTGACACTGTCCTTAATCTAAACTAAGTTCAACTAAACAGATGACATTTGGACTAAGCTGCTCTCTGTAGCCTGATTGCTAAATAACAACACTGACCAGAGCATTTCATCAGACAGGTGGATTAGGATGTTTTTCACCTAAAATGATAAAATTGCTCTCTCTTCCTGTGGCCCACAGCAACTGCAGTGCTTAATGTCTCAGGACTGTCTTCCTTTCCTCTTCCTGAAGTCATGCTAACCTGCAAACTACTGCTTTCAGATTCCCCCTCTAAGCTTGGCCTACCTGGCTGGGCACAGAGGCAGCCCATGGACAGCCGTTGCCTGGCAACACCTACAGTGGGGTGGGCAGACCAGCCTGGCATTCCCCATGCATTCCCCTGCAGGCAGCCCTGGGAGAAGGAGAAATATCATCTACTTTAAGGCTAAGGCATGTGGGCTTTGGGGCTCCCCACAGAGAAATACAAAGATTAAGTCTCATAATGAATCATTCTCTCACTTTAGAATGTTGGTTAGGATTTAGTTCTTTCTCAACTTCATTCTTTTTATCTTCCCTCTACTTATACCCTCTGCCCCTTGAAGTTTTGATTTCATGATTTTAGAGCGAAATCTATAGAACCTGTTTGCATATATTTCTTAAGAAGAAAAGTCACTTTTAAGGTTGATCTTTCTTTTAGGCATGCACAGCTTACTTATTCTTTTTCCATAAAAGAGGGGGAAAGGTTGGAGTGACTGCTTGGTGATTCTGGTCACAGACCAGCTTATGTATCAGTGTTGTGTGTGTCTCTGGGGCTAAGAGCTCTGCTTAGAGTTTTGAGGATCCTCCCTTTGGAGGTGGGGGGAAAAACAAAGGTGGAAGAGGTAGAGAAGAAAGAGGAGGAAGAGGAAAAGGAGGAGGAGGAATGATTACGCAAAGTCAAAGCAAACAAAAGCTGGTATAGAGTGGAAATACAAAGAGTTCATTTGTGATCCAGTGTAACTATTAGGAGCTTTCTTAATTCTGAACTTTAAGAAAAGTTCTTTTATGCAGAGTTAAGGCATCCCATGGGCCCAGCTTCATTCTTGCTTCCTGCACCATAGAGGTTGAGAGACCCATAATTCTTAGTAACAACTCGATGGATTTATGACATCATGAAGCCACGTAATACTTTGTGGAATGTTTTTCTTATAGGAAGCAAGAGTGTAGCCTCTGAAATCCAATTGGTATGGGTTTGAACCAGTTCTACTGTTTCCTACTTTGTGATTGGGACATGTCTCTTTCCTAGTGAATACACTGGAAATATCAGCCCTTCTAAGATTCTCAGAAGCACTGCATTCAGTCACAGATGCTGGTGTAGTGCCCGATTCTTGGTAGGCATTCAGACATTAGTCCCCCACCCGCTTCTGCTTGTCTCCCTTGCCTCTATTACTCAGTCTTCTCCATCAGAAATTCTGAGCAGAAACCAGGGTTGGGATGAGACAGTTCACATGAAGCCAGATGTTGATGGATGAGGCCCTCACTCCTATTTGCTGCTGTTTCTTCTTTATTGGTGCCAGGTGTAAATACTCGCTCTGAAATATAACCAGTCTGGGCTTGCTATTACAGTTTCTCTTTAAGTTTTTGAGAATGCTGTAAAAAGTGAACAGAGAGGGCAGACCCGAGGTCAAAGACAGTAGAGAAAGATCCTACAGTAATCTGGAGCCGGGGAAGGAAGACAGATTTTTTTTTTTTTTTTTGAGGGGAAGATGAAAGCATTGTCAGGACCTAGAGAAACAGGATTGTATCTCTTGGTAAACAAACACTGAGCACCATACTTTATACAGGCTCAGCTTTCTAATGAGATACCCAACAAACTGGAAGCTGGTTCCTCCCATTGTGTGCTTATGGTCTAAATGGACATAGAAGAGCCTGAAAAGATCAACCATAGCCACTCATAGGTGCCAACAATACAGGCCCTAAAAGGCTCCAAACTGAAGGCTCCACTGGATGTGTTTAATCATGAAAAGCTCCCTGACAGAGGCGAGTTTTGAACCCTTTCCAAGGAGATGAGGGCCTAGGGATAAAGGGGAAGAATTGAGGGACTGGAACAGCAGGTGCAAAGGCTTGATGCTCAAGGGTGAAAAACCCCTCTTCCTTCAGTGCTCTGAAAGTCTCCCTTTGCCTGGCAGCATCTGTCATGGGCACAGCTGGGCCTGGGCATGGGGCTGGGTCACTAGTGGTCTAACCTCATTGGACCGGAGAACTCCAAAGAATGGGTAGAGGAAGGCAGGCACCAGTGCTGCAGCTCCCAGTGGCACCGCCTCGGACACCCAGTACACAGCCGTCACGATCAGCACGTAGGCACACGAAGCTTCCTGGAGGGGAGGAGAGGACAGGTTAGTCCCAGGGAGATAGGATCTGAATACACCCTGGGGCTGGGGCAGCTGGCACCAGACACAGTCCTGCATGGTGCAAAGCTGTGCTGGGCAGCTGAATATGGGAGAACCATTCTTTGTGGGTGAAGCGTGGCCGCTCCTGGGGACCCTTGCCAGGCACACAGTCAGCACTGGTTTGCAGCACATTGGCCGCTGGGCCATTGGATATCACATGGCTCTGCCGGTGCCTGGAACTGAGAGATTCAGCCTAGCACCCAGAGCCAAGATGAGAAACTACAAAGGCAGCGTTCAGACCTTTAACTCAGACTGGAGCCAATTTGATCAGATACTGGAGACCCTAGGGGAAGCTGGAGATGGTTCATGATATGGGATTGGCTCCCATGTGTGCTGTCCATCAGCAAAGGGGTAGAAGATCTAAAGATACAGGGCATTCTGTGTTTGCCTGGCTAAAGGGAAGCAGTTTGGTAAGAAGTGAGATTTAGGTATAATCCCAAAGGTGGCTCCCACACTGTGTTCTTATGGCCCTGGGATGAGTCTCAGGAATATCCTAGAGAGAACAGCAAGGCCTAACCATCTCCAGCCTTACTCCTGAAGACTGGCCCTGCTCTCAGTTGATTTCCTAGCTGGCTACATCCAAGTTTATTTGAAAAAATTAAAAAAGGCTTCACTGCTTTAAAAATGAATAAAATTAAATCTCCTTGCTTCCGATTGTTAGCTAAAACAACATTATTCAATAGCAATTTTGTTGTTGTTGTTGCCAAGGCTAGTGTCAAACTTGGGCTCAAGCGATTCTCCTGGCTCAGCCTCCTGCTAGCTGGGATTACAGGTGTGCACCACCATTTAGTAGTAAATTTTAATACAATAAATTGCTAGGCAAGAACTGGTTGGCTATTTGCCCCTCCAGTGTCCTGGCTGAGGTTCTTTCGTACTTCACTCCCCTTGAGTGGCTGGGTGAGCCCTCCCATGGGGTTGTTTACAGAGGCAGTAGAGAGCTACAGCAGAGAGCTGCAAAGAGCCTGGTGGGGAGTGGAGCAGAGGGAGGAAGCAATCCTGAGAAGAGGACACTCGTTTTAGAGGAGGAAGAATGAACTCCTAACTCAGTATTTCTCAACCTTGGCTCTAGTGACATTTGGGGCTGGACAGTTCTTTGTTGTGGAGCTGGCCTGTGCCATGCAAGGCATTTTACCACATTTCCCCCAAAATAAGACCCAACAGCCTTGAAGCTGGACATCAAAAATGCCAGCCCCCATCACCCTTTCTGTGCCTTCCCTGCCTTACAGAGTAGCCACCAAGCAAGAGAAGAGTGAGGTAGAATGTTCTGAATGACTCGGGCGGTCAATATGATGGTAATGACCACTAGGGCTTATTTTCCAGCTAAGTCTTATTTTCAGGGTAACACAGTAGCAGCATCTCTGCTCTCTACTCGCTAGTTGCCAGTTGGAACATCTGAAAATGGTGCTTCTTGCTCTTTGCATCCTTTCACCTGCCTGATGCCATAGGAACATCCTTTCGAAAAGGAAACAGAATGCCATCCATGTGGAAGGGGACTGGAAATTCACCAGCATTTCCTCTAGTCCAGTTGCTCTTGGGTAACTGAGAGGTGCACAGAATAAATTAAGTACAAGTTCTTATCTAAACCCAGACCCCCCTCACTTTGGCCTCCGGTAATGCTGACTGCCCCAGTGATGTTATGGAGCTGTTGAGGAAGGTTGCTAGGGGCAGCATCGCCAAGCTGCAGGACTCAGAGGTGCTGTGAATTTCTTAATCTTCACCAAGTTCTAAACCATCGGGGCTCAGGGGACCTCCCCTTGCTGCGGAGCCGGGAACCTGACAGATCTAGCTGTGTTTGCAAACTCCTGAGTTCAAAATAAGCCTCCTCCAACTGTTGCGTTGAAGTTACGTAAGGTTGCTGTGCTCAGTGAGGGTAGAGGAGTGACCCAAAGGCTTGGCTGAAAGGGATCTTGCTCTCCAGATAGCCATGGCTTATGGGGCTGGGATCTGCGAGATGGGAACTGGGCCCACAGACTGTTGACTACGGCTCCAGCAGGGTCAAGAGATGAGAGAGAGAAGGCTTTTGGAAGTGCTCATAAGAAGCAGAATCAATAGTGAGGAAAAACAGCTTCACATGGGAAAGAATATAATTGAGAAATGCCCTCTTTGTAGTGGAAATAAAACTACCTGAAGGATTCAAAGCTCTCTGGAGCCTACTTCTCATTGCTTTTCTGGGAAAGAGACAGAATGAAAGGCCTTAATTCCACGTAAGATAAAAGAACAGAATGCCTGTCTTACTGGGAACCCTTTATCCTGGTCACTAGAGGGTCATAAGTCAAGGGAGTTAGGCTGTAGGGAGGGAGAGGGAGAGAGAGAGGGAGAGAAGGGAAGGGAAGAGAGAGAACTTTCCTTCTACCATGCACCATTTGGGGTTAAATTAGGGGATCTGAGGTAGGCTGGAGTAAGCTTTCCAATGGTAAAGACCTTTAGGAACTGGGATAAATGACTGGAGGAAGTCCCTGTGCTACCTTCAGCCAGCAAATCACACTAACTTCCTTCAGCATTTGGCACACAAGCCAGGATTTAGACACCCAGCACACTGCAGCGTTCCATTCTAGGAATCCAGGGTCTCTCATCTTACTGGGAGGAATATTCTGGAAACCCCATGTCCCTGTTCATCAGGAATTTGGGAGTTGGTAGGTATTCAGGGAATGACTTTATGGGCCAGTGTTGTTGGGATATATGTATATGTATATGTGTGTGTGTGTGTGTGTGTGTGTGTGTGTCTACATACATTCATACATACACATATATCTATGTGTATCTATTTTTTTTGCTACTGTTCAAAAAAAGGAGACTGTTCAAAAGTGGCAGGTCCCTGTGTAAAATGTTGCTACCTTGAGACTATCTTAGGCTTGGGTCTGTTTGACTACCACAGTGACAGCTCATGAGGTCTGGTTGGCAGTAGCTTGATGTCTATTCATTTGCCCTCTGTAAAACTTAACATAGGAGGTTGGGTGCGACATTCACCCCACTGGGACACTGAAGAGGTGCTTAGTGATGGATGCCTCCTCTTGTGCCTGCTTTAGGTTTTATTTGGTGGTGCTGGGGATGAAAGCCAACCTCATGCATACCAGGCGAGCACTGTACTACTGAGCTACACCCTCTACGTCTGTGACATGACAAACAGGTCCAGGAAGACATTTGGACCACTTCTAGAATATAGCTGTGGCTGGGCATTGTGAGGAACCATCAGAACCTCAGGCTGGGAACTCCTGCCCAAGTACTCAGCCACTGCTCTCCAGCCCAGTGCAAATAAATCCACCCAGGAGCTCTATGGTTTCCATGTCAGAATGGAACAGTCTGATGAGAGGGGTGAAGGGTGGGTGAGAGAATAATTTGTATTGGGCATCTAGCTTGGGCCTCCTGTGTGTGAATGCTGATTTAAAGCAGAGACCAGCTCCTTAAAACTGCCATGGGGGCCAGGAATGTAGCTCAGTGGCGCTGCACCTGTCTCACAAGCACAAGGTCCTGAGTTCGATTCCCAGTACCAAACAAAAGGAAATGAAACAAAACAATAACAACAAAAACTGCTGTGGGGGAATTGGTCCCTTAAGTCCTTTAAACCAAGCTGACATTGAGTGAAAAGCACCACAAAAGGAGGACAAAAAGGGCCCACGTGGACCACGCATGTGTTGACCATTGGGCAGCTTGAGAAAGACACCAGCAGCAATCCCCGTCTGTTAATACCAGCCCAGGGTTCATTGCATTTCCTGGAACCTCTTTATCGTTTCTGTTATTAAAGATGTAAACCAGCTTGTCTTTAGGAATTATCCTAATCCCCTCTATTTAACTTTTTACCTCAGTTTTGGTTCCAAGTGACTCAAGGAGCGAGTGGAAGTGCTCTTTCCCTTCCTCCCACCACCAGAATTCACCAGAGGTGGCTTATTTTTCCTAAATTTCAAGGGTAGCACCAGTTGGGGGCAGGTGTAAAACTGTCCAGGAGGTGAACAGAGAGGAAGGGAAGGGAGGTAAACTACGGGTCTGACAAACAACTGATCACACAACCCAAGCACAGCTCCCTGTTCACACGATCCCTGTTAAAAATTAGGTCATAGTCCAGAGTTTGGGACCTGATTTCTTTCTTTTTTCTTTTTAGCTTTTGGATAAAACCCAAGGGCACTCTACCACACAGCTACATCGTGAGCTCTTTTTTATTATTCTATTTTGAGGCAGAGTCTTGCTAAATTGCCCAGGCCGGCCTTGAATTTGCAGTCCTCCTGCCTGAGCCGCCCCAGTATCTGAGCCTACAGGCAGGCACACATCACCACACCTGTCTGCCTCATTTCTCTATCCTGCTTTACGATTGACGTTCAAGAACACAGAGAAGAAAATGCAGAGGATACAGATTACCCCAGGGTCATGTGCTCAGGGCCACAGCAACATGCCAAGCTCCACTTCCGATTTCAGCTTTCCTGCCCTGGGGTGCACAGGGAGCCTCAATGATTCAGATTTTCAAACTTTGGTTATCAGAGCCCACCACAACCAACCACCAAGCTGGACTGGCTCCACAATGCCCTCGGCCCCCCTTGCCCTCTGTGTCACAGGCCTTCCTGTGTGTGTAGCAAGGCCCCAGCATGTGCCAGGCCCTGGCTCTGTGCAAATCTGTCAGTGATTTCAGCCAAGGTGCCTTCTCTGTCCTAACGCCTGGCTGGGCCCACAGGGTTGGGGACTGGCACTAAGATGGAGGCAGTTTTTGGGAAGCAGGTATTTGGCCTCCTCCCTCCCTAAAAAGTTCATTTCTTCAAAGATACACTAACCCATCTCAGGGTGCTCCTGATGCTCCCTACTCCCTTTGCGCCCTCCCTTGTGTGCTCTGCCCCGGACAGAGCCAGGCGTACTTACACTACTTGGGTGCAGGATGGGCAGAGGCAGCAGCAACAGGGGGACGAAGATGACCAGCAGCAGCTTCCTGGCCTGGAGAAGACCCTGCAAGAAGCCCATGGCGGCCCAACCTGCTCTGCTGTCTGGCTGAATCCTCGCTAGGCACTGCTGTCCGGCCAGGAAGACTTCTTAAACTGGGCTCCCGAGAGCCCTCTCTGATCTTGGGGGCAGAAGAGGGGGTCCGTTACACCCCCGTTTCCACAAGAGATGGGTTCCTGGCCTCCCTCTTAGGTGGACTGGTGAGCATGGTTGTATGAGCAGCAAAAAGCAACAAGAAAAGGATGATAGACAGGAGCATAGTGGGCTCCCTCTTGGCTTGGTTAGCAAGAGAGGATCTTCATGCTCACGGCCAGCAAAAGCCTTCCTGAGTAATTAAAACCACGCTTTTGCTGCTGCTGTTTGGCCTTTCTTTTAAAAGATTATAAATAAAAATACTAAGAGCATAACATGCTGGCCGTCATTTTTCCTCCCTTAGATGGCCTGTGGTGGGGAGGGCCTATTTCATCTCTTGCCTGGCTCACGGGTGTAAAAATCTGGGAGCCCCTTCCCCCAAATCGGTGCCTGGGATCCCTTCACATGGGCCCTTCTGCTCTCTCCCAGGTCTTGTCACCCTACCTCGTTTAAAATTTCTTTCCTTCAAATTGGTTTCCTACTTCTAATTTGCCTTGAGCCTAGGCCTCCAAAGCAGAGGAGCAAAAAAATAAAAAATTCCCAACACATTCCTGATTATCACAGGACAAAAACTTGCCGGAGGTCCACCTTTAACTTTCATCTACCAATGGGAGGCCCAAATAGAGGCAGTAGCCACACCCACTCCTCAAAGCCAATCAGCAGATTGAAAAGAATGAACCCATATCGCTTCCAAAGGTAGCTCTTCATTGGTCACAGCAGGAGCCTGCTGATTGTGCAGGATCTAAGCGGCTTGCAAAGCTTATTTTTCCATTTCTCAAACGTCCTAGGGGCTGGAGTGATGATCATTGTTGTAAACATAATCCAGCTTCTCCAAGCACTGCTTTGGTATTTCTGAGCTAGGGTACAGATCTCTCCTTGGAAGGGCCACTTGCTGACCTGGTCCTCCAGAAGGTGACATATTTTGGAGAAAAGGCACTACTAATTCTGGAGAAATTTGTCTCAGAGTGTACAGTGTTAAACCTTTCTGACTTCCCAGCTAGCTAGCATTGTTTCTTCTGAAGCCTGGGCAATATGAGGTCTTAGCTAAGAGTGTGAGACTAAAGACTCCCTCCGGGCTTTGGGAGACTGAACAAGTCTGGATGCTTCTTGTTTCAGGGTCCTCAGACCCTGGTACCAGTGGTGTTTCTGGTGGACAGGCACTCAAATGTTCTTTACCAAAGGCTCTTTACCCAAAGGGCAAAGGGCTCTCCTTTGGCTGGCACCCAGGAAGAGGTGGGCAGGGGGGCAAGAAATTGACAAGTCCAAGAAGAAGCTCAGGAACAGCAGACGCTGGATTTTCGCTCTTCACAGATCAGGAGAAATGATAGCTTCTCTTCTAGAAAAAGACTTGAGGTTTTGGGACAGTGAAGGAAAGCAAAGGAATAAAACCCTCCCAATCTTCTCTAAGTGGTGGTCTTGGCAACTTTACCTTGACCTGGGGGCTACTGAGCAGAGCCAGGGCTTATGAAACCAGTTTTCTCCTCTTGAATGCACAGAATTCAAAGATTGGTGCTTCCTAAGGTGCAGCAATCCCTGTTGGAAATGATCCCCAGGCCAAACATGAAGTGACCAGGAAAGTGGCCCAAGAAACCAGTTCTTCTGGACTTTTAAGACAGGTGCAAATGGAGAGCCTAGATATTGGAAGTTACCTGGTCATTATAGTACCAGCTTTGATAACTCATGTCTTTGCATGCATCTTAAAGACTGGCTGTTGTATTTACTACATTCTGGCCTCATTTTTGTAGTGATTTTTAAATTCAGAATGAACAAGACCACATGTGTGATATTTTAGCTGCAAACAGACTAAAAACAAAGATAGAAGTCAACATACACTATTCAACCTAGGAAACAGTCTTCTTGGTGAGATAATCTGAGAATAACAGATTCCAGTGAATTTAGCAACTTGACTGTGGTATTTTATTAGGTCATAGATTAATATTTGTAAGTCAAATTAGGTAAGCCAAGCGACACACTAAGAGGAGTAGTTCTCCTTCGAGACTCTATCCATTTTTCAGACAAAGAAAATACTTTTCCACATCCAATGCTCAAGAAACAGAAGATAGAGTCTACTTGTGTGAGATAGGCAAAGTGGTCAAACTCTTAAGAACAAGAACTAGAATGATTGGTTGCCAAGTGTTGCGGGGAAGGGACAAAGGGAAGTTATTTAATGAGTATATAGAGCTTAGGATTTTTGAGATGAAGTTCTCAAGATCTGTTGCACAGTAATGTGGCTGGGGCATAGCTCAGTGACAAAGCACTTGCCTAGCATTTGGGAGGCCCTAGATGTGTCTTTAGACATGCAGACAAAAAGGAACAGTGTGCATATAGTTTACACTACTGTACTGTTTGCTTACATAGTTAAAATGAAAAATTTTATGTCATTTTTTAAAACAAGAAAAACATGTAAGAAATTAAAATATTAGGAAATTTGTTGTGTGACGCCATGTAATGGATATTTAGTTCTAGACCTGTTTACCTGACCAGTTACCTTTTCACTGATGTATTCCTTATGTGATTCTCTTTTCATTATACTCAAGGTGAGACGAGAGAGCAATCAGTTTTAGCACAAAAGATGTTTGTGACATGGTGGGGGGTAACATTCAGGATGTTGAGGATGCCAACTATATAGGGAGCTTCCAGAGCCTGGATCCTGAAATTTCCTAGCAGTGTAGAAATGGCAGAAATGGCCCCATGAGTTGCAGATGAGTTTCCACTATAAACATTGCATCCCCAGTTTATTCTCTTGAGTAAATATGATGAAATATGGTCCACCCAAGACTGTGGCTGAATGTTGCACAGAGGATGCAAAATGGGAGAGTCTTTCATTATTATTATTATTATTATCATTATTTTTGAGAGTCTGTTTCTGTCCATTTCTCTACTGTTCATTGGGCAAAGGGTAGAGTTTTTGAGTAATGTTGGTTAGTATAGTATTTGATTCTGTATGTCAATAAAGTCATTGTTATAAAACCCTGTGGTTAAAAAGACTTTCTTTAGACTTAAATTAAGAATCTAGTTACTGAAAGTGGAGTCTTCATTTGTCTTTTCAAAAGTCATGTCCTGCTTTTTTTTCCCTCCTATGGCATCGACTGCCACATAAATTCAAGCCCTGACCTATGTCTGTAAAGTGTCTTTCATCTTTGTTGTGGGTGAATAAACTACCATTGCTACCAGTGGTCCTGGGAACAAACCTCTCTTTCACAGATCTCCTGCCCCTGGGAGCAGCCCTCCATGCCATGAGGTCCAGCAGGAATACACAGATGGACCTTTCTACCAGATGATTACAAGCACAGGAAGGCTCTCAGATCCACTTGGCGGGGGGATAGAGTTTCAGGGTGGGACGAAAAACTGTCAGCCCACTGCATGGTATGGACTGAAGCCATTGTGGGTCCCTCCCCACTGCCAGCAAAAGTACAGAGAGCAAAGGTGAGCTATGACGACCATTTCCTCTGGCAGTCCCAACTCTGTCTGCACATCAGCCTTTGTCCTGTACAAAGGAAGTGGAAAGATGCTGCATTGTTGTAGTACAGGAAGGGGGTGGTGGTGGGAGGAATCGAGGACAGAGAGTAAAAATGATCAAGAGGAGAAGTGTATGTGTATCAAACACCCAAACTGAACATAATCACTATATGATAAACATGCACGAGAGAGGGAGTGAGCAAAAATCGACCAGAAGACAGAGACCTGAAGATGTAAACAGATGTTCAGAATTGGGCCTATGACCACGGGCCTAGTGCTGATCTAGAAGCTGATTTGATCAAAGATTTAGAGGAAGTCCAGACCTCCTTCTCATCAAATGACACTTGCTAACTACTTTTTACAGAATCAAATTAAACTCAGTGAATCCCACTCCTTCTAAGAGCAGACTTCTTGCAGTTTTAGCCTCTAGGACTCAGCTGTAAACTGAGGAAGAGAAGCCAGAAAGATCCCTGTGCTGGTGAGGAATCCTTATCAGGTACTTTACTCCTTCATCTATTAACTCTTGTTTAACACAGAACAATAGCAGGCCCTTTTCAGTTATCTTACTTTTCAAGCAAGGAAGAACAAACTGCAAAGGGCAAGTTGGTAACAGTGAAACACTCTCTGTTATTACAATGAAATATTGGATGTCATGTAATGAAGCAATGAAAAATGATCTCTTAACCTGACAGAGAGGAATGCAGAAGAGAACTCAAAAAGGGACACAAGAACTAGCAGAGCCTGGGGTCTTGCCAGACGTATCAGAAGTCCATTTCCCTATGTAGTATTTCACAGTCGTTAAATGTGTGTAGAAATTTAGTAGGTAGAAGGAATCTTAGAGATTATCTTATCCAACTTCTTCATTATGAGGTGGTCAAAATGATTAGCTATATATATATATGTGTGTGTGAAATGTCTTTTATTTGGTATCATATATGTCTAAAATTGATACCAAGTCGTTGTTTCTAAAATGAAAATGTTGAAAGGGTAAAACGCTGTCACCTGAGGATCATTTCTCTCTGGTGCACTTAACTCTCTGACGAGGCTGTTGTGGCAGACGGGCATGGGTGCCAGTGCCCCCTCTGCATCAGGATCCCCTCTTTGTGTTCACTTGGTATCTCTGTTAGAGGACGGGGTGTGGAGGGAATGGTGGCATTTCTGGGCCCCCCTCCCGTTTCTCCTCTCTGTGAGAATAGCGTTCAGAAAGGATGAATCCAGACACCCAGGTCATAAAACTACTGGTTTTCTAACTGATTCTTCTGGATGGCTTTTGGAAAAGTCAGGTTTATCCTTTATATTACTATGGAGAAAAGGTTCATTCAACCTAATGCCCTGGTCCGTAGGATCCAATAAATCTGTCCCTTTTATCCCCCGCACCCAATCTCTTTGTGTCTTCTCTAGCTCTGTCCCCTCTCAGGTATATGTTGATTGCTCTACATTGCAGCAATCTTAGATTTCTGGGGGTCCCAGGCAAGCTGTGCTGCCTCTGCAGACATCTTGGATGAGTCTAAAGTCTTTATTACAGCTCAGGTCACACTGTGATGGGCAATGACACAGGCGCCTCTTATCCCTGCTGCCCTGACACGAGTTTTGTTGGTGGTCACTATATGTGGAGTAGAGGATGAGCTTTCTAGATTATTGTGTGCTGGTCCCTGGTTCAAGGTCCTGGTGTGGGCCAGGCTCTGAGGGGGACACTGTGGGGCCTGAGGATCGCATCAAGTCATGCCTCAGAGCCTGGAAGAGGCTAATGAGGGCCTGGGCCCAGATGTCCTTCTGGTACCCTTGGGACAGGGCGGTGCGGTACGCTGTGTAGGCCAGGGTCAGCACTGTCCGCTCAAAGTCTTCTTTCTTGAGGATACCGGGGCGGCTGGCCAGGCTGGCACTCAGCCTGCGAATGTCGGGGATGCGCTTGGGGATCACGTCATTGCAGACTGTGTGGAAGTTTGAGGCCTTGCGCAGGGAGGCCAGCTCCTCATCCTTGACAGAAATCTTCAGGTCAGGGCTGATCTCAAGCTCGGCCAGCAGGAGCTGAGGCGAAACAGGGGATGCGGAAAGACATGAAGCTGAGCATGGTCACAGGACACAGCTATTGTCATTGTCACGCCCGTCCACTTAGGGAGGGAGCTGGGGAAGGAGCTTTGGGATCAGAGACCTGGGTACCAGTGCTGATCTTCCCACTTCCTGTGTCACTGTGGGCTACTTGCTTAACTTCTCTGGGCCTTATTTCTCTTCTCTGTAAGATGAGTAGTAACAACATCTGCTTCATGGGGTTATCATGAGAGTTCCATAAGACAAATATGGTCAATCTAACATAGTGCCTGGTATAAAGCCACTATTTAAGTGGACAATTATTGTTTCTAGTGAACCAGATCAATCCTTTCTCTTTCTCACTCTCCTCTACTGAAGATTTTCTAAAGCATAAACAAATAAATGGACTTTTTTTTTTTAGTACTGAAGATTGAACCCAGGACTTTCACACTGAGTTATATTCCTTTTTTATTTTTTATTTTGAGACAGAGTCTTGCTGAGTCACTAAATTGTCCAGGTCAAGCTCAAACTTGCAATCCTCTTGCCTCAGCCTCTCTGAGTTTTGGGATTTCAGATATGTAACACCTGCCTGGCTATTTCAGACACTTTTATAGCAGAAAGTGGGACTTTAAGGAATGCAGCACCTTGCATTAGGGATTTAGTTGGATTCAGATTTGTCTTCATTTACCTCCAGCTCATAGTTTAAGGGCCAAGTCTGTCATCTGCCTCCCTGTCCATAGCCAGGAGTCTCCCTGTCTCCTCACAGAAGAGGATGACTGCATACAGGATGGAATGATTCCAGATATCAGTTTCCATCTGCTTTCTGAACTACTGTCCAACACTGTCTGATGCCTTTCTAAGCCATGGATCTGTTCTGTGACTCCCAGGTTCAAGGAAGGCCAATGCTATGCGTTTGCTAGTCTGTTCCTCAAGGCAGGGCTTTGCATCTCTGTTCTGGTCCCATATGGTGTGGCCATATGGGCTGTGTCGTTCCTAACCAGACAGTTCTAGCATGCGGAGTCAGAATGTCAAAGCTGGAGGGCAGTTTTGAGGATCAGAGCTGAACTCTTCTCAGGTTAACAGTTGAGGAGAGTCAGGGCCAGAGAAAAGTGGTGGCTTATGTGAGGTCACAGGGATGATAGACTAAAGCTCAGATCTTGACCCTCTGGCTGTACTGCTGGTCTGAGCCAGGCAGCCTAGGGACATCTGGCCTGTGGTTTGGAGGACAGGTGGCAAAGCAGAGTCTACAGGGTGGCTCCTGCATTCAGAACCCTGGATGGACTAGCAGGATGTCAGGCGGCCTTGCTGTCACAGTAGCAGGGCCTTAGAGACATAGCACATGTGCAGATCCTACTGAGGAACCATGCCTCGAAGCCTTTTCCTGGATACAGGCCACCCTTGGGTGCCTGGGTGTAGGCGGTAGCATCATGGGACTAACCTAATCTCATTTTCCTGAACTGAACTCCCAAGGCCATCATCCCCACTGCGGCACACAGGAGAGGAGGGAAGGCACCAGGAGTGTCTTGCTTTGGGACGGGCAGGAGTCCAAGACCTCCACAGTTCAACCAGGGTGTTCCCTTCCCGAGCCCAGGCCGCTCATGTCTGGGGGCTTGGCAGGCCCCTTCTCCTCCTCCAAAAGAGAGAAACTGCAAGTTCCCTGGGTGAGCTGGGTGAACCACTTGCCCCCCCCTACCTCATAGAGCAGCTCCACTTCCTCCAGGGAGGTCTGCAGGACAGGGTTCAGGGGCACAGAGGAGGACCTCTTCGGCCGGTGGGCAGCAGGGAAGAGAACAGCTGGAAGAAATGAGAGGGAGGTGGGTTGCTGTGTGCACATGAGGCTGCCTTTTGCACAGTCAGCTGCCTCACTGTACTTAGCCTTGAACAAAGCCGTGTGTCTTCAAAGTGAGCTGACAGATTGCAGGCAGAGGGCACAGACTCCCCTGGCAGGTTCCACTAAGTTCCCAGGCAGTGTCAGACCAGCAGCTTCAAACCCAGTTGCTCATCAGAACCATTTGAAAAAAGCTTTGAAGAACTGATATGCCTGGGGACATGTCTGTGCTAGAGAATTTATTTACTTATTATTTGGGGGGTGGGTTTTGAGACAGGGTCTCACTGTATAGTTGAGACTGACCTGGAACTCACTAGGTAGCCCAGGCTGGTCTTGAACTCACAGCGATCCTCCTGCCTCAGCCTCCTGATTGCTGGGATTACAGGAGTGTGCCACCACGTCTGGCTGTGCTAGAGAATTTCTATTAAAATGAAGCTAAAGAAAGCAAAACAGAAATGTGCATGCTAACAAAAAACTCCCAGTTCAACAAGTGCTTTCCTAAAAATACTGTTCCCTAGCAGTACTACAAAACCGAGCATTTTGTTTCACCAGTATGCAGTGCTGGTTTATAATTGAATCAGAGAATCAGACTTCTGGCTATCCCTCCCACTGGAAGCAGAGTTCCCAGGAGTCTGAACACAATTACACTCAGTGGTGAATGATAGATTTCAGTAGAAAGATTTATAGCTTTTGATATTGACTTAGTAGACTGACTGGTCCTCTACTTTTGGAACAAGGATGATTCTAGATCATTTTAATATTAGTGGGATATTCTTTTATTCTTGTAACTATGAGATACCAAGAATATAATTAGATGATAAAAGCATTGCCAGATGGAGGGTTACAAATCAAGCAAGATAAAGCTTCTGGCCTTATTAGATGAACCCTTCATTACTTGGGGGACAAATAGTGATTATATAATAAATATAATGAAAAATGATATGTTGGGTGTATACCTATAAAAACAACTTTTATATGTGGCTTTTTTTCAGCAGCTGAGAGAACATGCAACCCTTATCTCCAACTCTCAACTGCATAATTAACCTTTCATTTGATTACAAAGTCAACTATGTGTAGTAGGCACAGTACAGAAGTGATGGGCCAGCAGGCTGCCAACTGATGAAACAAGATTGCTTCTTTAAGCCTCTTGGTTATGAGCCAAGCATAGTGGTGCACACCTGTAATCCTAGCACTCAGGAGGCTGAGGCAGGAGGATGGCTGCATGTTCAAGGCCAGCCTGAGCTACATAAAAAACAAAGAACAACAACAAAATGACTCTTGATTATGATCTTCCAAAAAATTGGGAGAACTGTAAAAGTCAGACACGGGAGTATGAAGCCATCATGTACAAGGGTTACTTTTGTGTAACCATAATGACAGCTCTGTTGGTTGTGGTGCCCTTGTGCCATGGAGAAAAGATCAGATTATGTTCAGTGTGTCTTGCTAAAGAGCAGGGACTGTGTGAAGCATTTATAAGGAATGCCATCAGAAGAGATAAAACATGATACATTTTCAACTAAAAAGGAGCTTTCTGGAAAAGCTCCCTATAGGAATCTCCCACTTTCAGAAAAAGCTGGCCCATGTAGTGTTGCTGAAATGCAGCCATCTCAGGAACTTTGTGTGGTCTAGACTCAGCTCCCTGGGGCCCGGTGAGTGTGATTTTTATGTTTCTGTGAGTAATGAGTGGAGACAGCTTTGCTTCTGCCTTCTCCCTGGTAGAACAGCAAACCAAGATGACCGGTGTTAGTTCAAGGCAAGAGCTGTTTCTTTCTGTGCCTTTTTCCACCACAGAAGGCATCAGAGAGCCCATCTCAGGATAGGATTTCAGCATGACTTCACTTCCCACTCCATTTCTTCTCCTCACCTTTGGCTTCCTCCCTCCTCTTCCCCATTCTCCTCCCCACTCCTTTGTCATCTTTTCCTTCTCCTTTTCCTCCTCCCCTTCTCCTTTCTCTTCTCCTTCCCCTTCTCCTCCTGAGTTTTCTTCCTCAATCGTTTGCTTGCAAACAGCTCCTTTAAGGAGCTCAGCCAGGTAGAGACGTAGTTCTCCCAGAGCAGAGCAGGAAGCACATCCTGGTTCAAAGCTCAGTAACGGGCTTGTTTCCAGTGTTTCCCAGTTGTTCTCGTAGCCATTAACACAGCTTGGTGGAGGTTGGTAGAAGTGGTCTTAGCCTGGACTAGGAGAATGGCAACTACTGTAGGAAAGGTTTGTGGGGAGCTCAGGAATCTTAATGCTGGGGCTTCCCTCCCTTCTCCAAGCCCTGGTGTGGGGGTACCCGAGGGCGGGGCTGCCCACCAGGTTCTGTAGCTGCATTAATCAGGAGCACTGAGCCTCAGGCAGGGCCAGGGGCCTTTGTGTCACCTTGGGCTGCTGTTGGGTAGGCAGCCAGCCCTCAGTAGACCTCTCAGAGTCTCAGCTGCCGGGGTGAATACATTCTCCTTCACTGGAGATGCTGGGAGTGAAATGCCAGGTCACTGCTAGATGTTCCCATCCACAGTGAGAAAGGCTGGCTCTGGCCAGAAATGCTGGTGGCCAAAGCAAGGGCTGCTGATTCTGACCCTCAAGCTAGGCTTGCTCCTCCTTCACTAGGAAAACAGTCCTGTCTCCCCCTTCCCTGCCTCTTTTCTTTCTCTGCCATCCCATCCCTACATTTATGGAGACACTTGAAAGTTCTCTGTGTTTTCCCCGCTTTCTGTGTTGGGCAGCTCAGTCTTTTCAAAAAGGGAGCCCTGCAAGGGCTTCCCTGGGTGCTCAGCAGCCACAGCACCTTCTCTGAGATGGAAGGGCAAGGATAGCACAGAGAGAAGACTCGGTCCTGGTAGGCAGATGCTGCTGTACCCCGGGGTCCATGGAGCCTCAGCCAAGAAGACTGCTGGGAGGTTTGTATTGGAGTTATTGGCTTTGGTATCTTTTACTTGGCGTAAATTTGGCCTGCTTGCTGTCCTCTCCATTCAATGACCCACACCCAGCCCACCCTCCAGGCGTTTCTTTAGTGTGTGGATGTATCTATGAGGGCTGGGCAGTGCACCTGTCCTAGGGACACCTGGGAATCCTGTGTACAGGATAGCCTTATGGAGGGAAATTGAGGCTCCTTCCTTTGACTCCCCAGACAAATAGTATCTATGACATAGTGGGCTCTGGTTAACTTCCTGATGGTTATGCACATGGACTGGGACCAGAGGTGCAGGGTTCACATGTTGTCCAATGCTCTATCCGGAACTCCTTTAGAGAGACACCTTTGGACCTCAGAGTGACCTGTTTGTTCCAATGTGCAGTTCAGATATAATAAGAGCTCCCAGGCACTCAATGTGTGCCAGCAAGCAGGCTTTGTGCTCTCCAGATGTTCCTTGAAAGGTAACTATTAACTTCCTATTTTTTAGCTAAAGAATATTGGAGTTTATGGAACTTGCTCTCAGCCACCCAACTTGTTTGAGGTAGGACTGGAATTAAGATCCAGATCTAGTCTCCAAAACCCAAGTTCATTTTTAGGGTGAACAATACTCTTTTCATAGGGATGTCTGTCCAAAGGCTGGGTGTTCTGCAGTTCTGAGTAACTATGAGAAGGATCAGTGTGAATAAGTGTGAATCAATGTATGCTTTTGCTATAAAACATTCTTAATTAAAACACATATGTCTTAAATCTTTAATTTTGATTTAAAATAATGTGATGTACAGGGTCAAACTACAATCACTCAGGTCTTGTGTAGATCTCAACTCCTTTGCTCCCTTCTTTGGACTTACTTGGCAAGAGCATACCCTTGCCCTACGTACTGCACACCTGCACCCGAGCACCTGCGTGTGGCAGGAGGGACGCATCATGGCACAAGCACTTACCTGACAGGGTTATTTTGGTGGTGGTGATGATGGTGGTGCTGGTGGGGATTGAATCCTGGGCCTCACATATGCTAGGCAAGTGACCTACCACTGAGTTACATCCCTATCTCTTTTTGTTTTTATTTTGAGGCACAGTATCTAAGTTTCTTGTCTTGAGCTTGAACTTTCAATCCTCCTGCCTCAGACTCCCAAGTAGGGGGAGATTACTTGCTCAAAGGGATCCTTAAATGCTGCCTGCCTGTCATCCTAGCTCCCTTTCCTCTCCTTCTGTCACTTGTGTCACACACATGAGCAGGTTCACACACATGTACTTCTCTGCTCTGGGCCATGCTCTGGGCTACCCATAAAGATGGTGCCTAGATCCAAACTTTTCTTTCCAAGTCATAGTCATTAGCTTCCTCTTCTCAGCTGGGTCTTTCACAACAGCATGAAAACACATTGCTCCGGCTTTTACCATAATAAACAACGCCTGCTCCTGGACTGCCCATACTCATGTTGCAGTGTGAGGGCTGCCGTTGTGGGCTCTGCCCCTGCTTCTGGTGCCTTCAACTTGCTATTTCCAGACCACATGTCTGAACTTCCTAATGGAAGCTCCCCTTTGGACTTGTGACATCTGTTTCTCCTTATCTCCATTCCCAGTACCTAGCATGCGTGCACACACAGACACACACACACAGACACACAGACACACACACACACACACACACTCACATACATGCATCTCCTGCCTGATCTCCAGCCTTCCTCATCTCTGTCAGCTGCTCAGCCATCATCTTTGACTTTCTCTGTCCTTTACATCTACCCTCAGCTTGTGAGAAGATCTTGCTGTCTGTACCTCCACCACTGACCAGGTGCCTAGCCACTTCTTACCACACTCCCACCAGCCTCTTGATCCGAGCCCTGAGCATTTTCCTAGTAAGTGTCTCCACTGCCATCCTGGGCCCCTGCCCCACTCTTCTTTTTTGTACCAGGGATCGAACTCAGGACCTTCTGCTTGCAAGGCAGCCCATTCTATTCTTAACATAGCAACTGGAGTGAATCTGTAGCTGTGGATCTGGCCGTGCTGCTCCTTTGCCTGGAACCCCCTCTCAGAGCACAAGCTGAAGATCTTCAGGTGGCTACAGGTGCTCCACGACTTGACTTCCTTCTGCCTTTTTGCACTCATCTCCTACTCTTCTCTAGTTCACACCACTCTGGCCCCAAAGGCTCCTACTGCTTCTGAGCATGCCAGGCAAACTTCTGCCACAGAGCCTTTGTATACCTGCTCCTCTGCTTGAAACAGAGGCTGCATGACTTGTCTCCTCACTGTTAGGTCTTTTATCACTTTCTCAGTGAGGCCTTCCATAAACACTGTTTAAAATTTTAACCCTCTGTGCCCACTAACCACTGATCCTACTTTATTGACATCCAAAAATCATACATTTTATTTGGACATGTGCTCATTTTCTGTCTCCTTTCATGTAGGCCTGGGATATTGTCTGTTTTGTTCACTGCTATATTCTCAGTTCCAAGCACTGTGCCCATTACTGTTTGTTGAATGAACGATCCCATAGCAACACATTACCAACCCATGTCACCAAACTTGATTCTTTTCAATAAGAATACTTTACAGAAATCTTCCTCTTTCTAACAGCAGTTCTGGGTCCTGGCTAGTGATCAGAAAGTACATATTCACTTTTGCCTCCACCACACCCTTCCTTTATATCTCAGGAGTTCCTGCTCCAGCTTGGAAGGAGTGATTTTTTTTGTCTTGTTCTTTGTTTTTTGTGAAAGGGTCTCACTAAGTAGTTGAGACTGACCTGGAACTCACTGCGTAGCCCAGACTGGTCTCAAACTCACAGTAATCCTCCTGCCTCAGCCTCCCGAGTGCTGGGATTATAGGCATGTGCCACCATGCCTGGCTTGGAAGGGTGATTTTTAATTTATCCCAGTTATGTCCCATACTTTATCCTTGTAGACTTTCTGGCTTTGAGGTACAGAAAGAAGGTGCCCCAAGTGCAGCTGCCAGCCTTGTGCTGTGGTCTGACTTTCTCTTAGACTTTTTATACTCTGCTTGGATTAAAAGTCTCCCTCTTCCTCCTCACATTCCTACAATCCATTCCATATAACAATGACACTAAGGTCCTTAGTTTTCACTGTGTGTGAAACACTTGAGCCCAAAAGCTTGTTGGGAAGGATTCAGACTGCAGACTCCATGGAGCCAAAACACAACCACGTTTAGTGGATCAGTTGAAGCACCTCTGTGGAAACCGTAGTGAGCGTGGAAAGGAAATGGCTCGCCTGTGAGAGATCTTGTGCCGGATTCTACTGCTGTGATGGTCTTTTAGCTCCTGAGCCAGCCCTTGGGGAACCTGGGGCTGTCAGAGCAAGCCAGTGTCTTGGCCCATGTATTGGGTCCTCAGGAGAGTGTTACCTGAGAGGTGGTAGTGGAGGACTGGGGACAGCGAGGCAGAGTCAACACACAGGGTCACTCCTTTCTCATCCACCTTCCTATCTTCTCGCCTGGAAATGGTCACAGCAGCACCCACCTCCTGGAGCTGTGTGGAGGACACAGGTGGCTCTGCACAGGGCACTTAGGATGCTGGTGTTGGGCACCAGCCCGGCCCTTCCCTGGCAGAGCACTCATGAGCGATGGAGCCCTCAACTCTGGGATGACACTGAGCTGGTGGAGTCCACAGAGCAGCAAAGGATGGAGGGCATCCTTCCCTACTGACGTGCTCTGGAGCACTTTGCTTATGTGTTGTTGACAACGACATGAGCGTTTTTATTGGTTAATAAGTTCAAGTTTCCAACCTTTCCCTCCTTCTTCTCATCCTTTCCTTCCCTTCTTTTCTTCCTTCTCTGCCCCTCTTCATTTTTCTCTCCCTCTCTCCTTTTTCCTTCCTTCCTTCCCTCTTTCCTTCCTTCTTTCTTCCCATAGCACTGGAGATTGAACACAGGACTTCGAGTATGTTAACCTCATCATCAGCCCCATATTTTCCAATTTTTAAAAAGTTTTCTGGGTCCTCCTTGCTCCAGTGTTGCTCTGGCAGGACCTGGGACATTCGAGGACATGGGCCTCTGTGTGTGTGTGTGTGTGTGTGTGTGTGTGTGTGTGTGTGTGTATATCCAACATCTCTGAGTGTGTGTGTGTGTAAATCCAACATCCCTGGGTTGGCCACGCTAACCGCAGGTGAGTCATTTGGTCAGGATCAAGCCAGCAGGGCTGGAATGGGCAACCCTGGACCCTGGCATGGAAATTCCCTCCTAGGGTGCAATCCTAGAGAGCATGCCTTTGGGAGAGGCTGGGGGAACGGTAGGAAAAAGGGTGTGCTGCCAGCCATGTATTCCCTAAATTTATGGCCCCCAGTTCTACACATGGGAGAGGGGTGGGAGTGGACCAGGAAGATCTGACAGGAGAGGACACCTCTGATTGCTTCTAAAGCTGGGCTGCAGTTGGGGCTGGGGTAAGGAGAATGGTGAAAGGAATAAAAACTGTTATTTATTTGGGTGTGTCCCTGAATTCCACTTTAAGAAATGACAAGGACTGTGTGTTCCTAATATAATTAGAAAAAAGTTAAATATGAAAAAAATGAAGCACATGGAAGACTTTGGGTGTGAGTTGGAGGAACTCCACACCATTTATCGGTGCTGACCTGGATCTTGGACCATGAGTCTGGAGCTGCTCGCTGGCTGCCTCCTAATGCACTGATGTCAGTTGGGTTGGCCTTGGGTGCTTATCTTGATCCTGAAGATCATGAATGTGCTGGGGACAGACCTTTCCCAGGGGCAGGGGCCTGGCCAGAGTAATTGCTCCTGGGGGTGTTGCTACCAAACACTGCTGGGGGCCTCAAACTTCCTTTAATGGAAAATTTTTACTTATTAAAGAAAACCTGACAGGGAATAGCTAACATTCAAACAGTGCTTCAGTATTTACAAAGCATTTCATTTCTGTTTGAATATGACCCTGGCAACACCACCACAGGAGAAGTGTTGTTATGTTAGCCTGTTACAGTTAGTAAACTAAAATTCAGGGAGGATCACACAGTCAGTCAATTAAGGGCAGAACTTTTTTTGGAGCCCCTGAAACAGCTAGAGATTTTATGAACCATATTACCCATTATATTTTGGCTTTGCATCAGGAAGAGTAGGTATTATTATCCTTTCAAGTAGGGGAATTAAGTAGTGTCCCAGGTGATAGAGGTTAAGTGACAGAACCCAGCTGCAGGATTTGTTTGCTACTTCAGCTGTGCCTCCGAAGCGTGTGCACATCACACGTGTGTAGGTGCGTGTGGTGTGGGTTGTGAACTCGGTGTTGCTATAAGAAGAGGAAAATGCCGAGTTATTTTCTTCTGGACAATAGTTATTTCCTGGCTCAGCTCAGAGGACTGGCAAGTCCCTGGTATTGGGCTTAAACACAAGGAAATAAAATCCAAAATGACTAACACTAGCCTTGAGAAGCAGGGATGTGACCCACTTCGCCACCAGGCCACCTTCTTCAGATCTGGGTTTCTAGAGACACCCCCAGGCCTGACTTGAGTGAGCTCTGTTCTTCCAGTTCTTCCTGGGATATGAACTCAGCTGACTCAGGACAGTGGAAAGAGTTCAGATCAGAACTGTGTGGAGTGGGCAGCACTCCTTGTCCCTTGTTTCCTATCAGTAACGGACCCTAATTGGCTCAAGGGGCAGTCAGTGCCTGCCATGCAGTGCCAGTCCCAGGGCCCAGAGGGAAAGATGCCATACTGACTCTGAGCACTGACGTCTGAGGGAGGGGAAATTGGCAATGGAGAGGAAACCAGCAATCAAAGGAAAGCCTTTGTGGGGCTGCTTTCTCCCCAAGGTGGCTCAGCAGGGGCTGGTGGGTATGGCAGAGCAACCACCCCAAAGAGCCACAGTGCTGACTTTTCTCACCTGCTCCTGGGCCAGCCCTACCTGGCTGAAAAAAATGCATCTACTGCTGGTCAGGGAAAGCACGTAGCCCTCCCTCCTGGCCACCCAGCTGGAGAGCCCCTTACCCCGTGCCTCCAGACACAAGGGCTCCTGCATCCCAGCACCCATCCTTCTTTCACGTGGGTCACAGGCCTCAGTGCCTGCTCTGCAGAAGGTTCCCCCCAGCTGCAGCAGCTGGTGGGGAGCTGGAAGGAGCCCATGCCCACTTTCTGAAGCCAAAAGGAGAAAGGAGAAAGGCACACAAGAAAGGGAAGCCTTTGAGACCTCTTGCTCGACCTGGTTCCCAAGTCAGCTGTCATCTACCCAGGGTGGGACCCTTCAAGAAACAGAGCAATTGGCAGAGATAAGATGAAAGAAGAGCCAGGGCTTCCAGTTTCCTTCCCTCTCCTCCAAGTTCCTAATGATAGTCAAGACAAGAGAGCATCAAATGAGCGAATGAATAAAAAGCAACTCACCCCTGCTCCATCCATGGGACACGGTAGCCTGAGCATTGTAATACAGCAGCAGAAGCAGCAAAGTCTTCCAACACATGTCTTCCTCCAAAGAGGTGAAAACTCGGCCCTCAGATCCAGGGAGGACCCAGTCGCTACAGGTGGGCTCCTGAGTTCGTCCCAGAGAGAAGACAAGATTCCTCTACCCTCCTTTCCAGAAATGCAGTGATGCCCTCGTCCTGCCTTAGCAGGGTGGAGCAGACAGCCACCCCCTGGGTGGGACGGAGCCTGCACCTTCTTAATCCTACTCTCTCTGGAATAGGGGCTGAAGCGTCCACACAGAGGCTCTGTTTTGAGCACATCTGGAGTGATTCACAGGGCATGTGATCGCCTTGGCAGAGGGGTGGATAAATATAATTTCTGTACTTGAGTTCCATGTGTTGGATGCGCCCACTGGAATTTTTCTTTAACAACAGACCCGCAGAACTTGTTAGAGAGCCGGGCGAAGAGCTGGCAGCTCTCCCTGTCCACACATACTACATCAGAGCCAGGGGCAAGAGCTGTAAAAAGGGCTGGAAGCTTGTCTGGCAGATGCTGGTGTGGCTGGAGCACAAAGTTGCTGTCAGGACAGCACAGTCATTGTAGAACCTGAGCTGGATCTCACTGTCACCCTCACCTACAGTGGATCCAGGGATCTGGGACCTGGAACCCAGGTGAGGAGTGAGGAGAGTGAGAGGGAGCAGAAGTAGAGAGGAGACTGGGTGCATAGGTGTTGTCTGTGTGAGCCTGTGCATGTCAACATGCAAGAGCCCAGGGTCTATCCTCCCTTCACACTCATGATGCAAATATGAAACTTTTTACTGTTGCTATACCAAGATACCTGAGTCTGATAATTTGTAAGACAAGAGGTTTATTTAGTTAACTGTTCTGGAAGTCCAAGAGGATGGCGCCAGTTTCTGCTCAGCTTGGCGAGGGCTGTGTGACAGATGGCAGCACAAGGTACCCATGGATGTGCGTGTGGATGAGACTGCACTGAGAGACAGAAAGTCAAGAGCTTCAGGGGTCAGGCCAGCACTTGTGACTAACCAGGGCTCCACAGGCATGACATGGGTCCCTTCCAAGGACAGCACCACCAGTGACCTGACTCCTTTGCACTAAGGCCACTTCTTAAAGGTTCCACTATTTTTTTTTTAATTTACTTTTTCATTAGTACATGTTTTCCATACACATTCATCATAGGGGATGTGTACCTATATATAATGCATCTTAATTCTTCTTTATTCCCCATTCCTCACCCTTTGCTTCAGCCCTTCTTTCCCTCCCCATTTGCAAAAGTTTTTTTTCCTTTTTTTTCCTTCCTTTCTCTTTTTAAATCCCTTTCCCTTCCTTCCCGTTTCTTCCTCCCATCTTGCTCCCTTTCCCATTTTACCATGTTTTTCCTTCTTCCCAACATCTATCCTGTACATGCATAATAAACTCATTGAGAGAGAAATTAGCAAAACAACACCTTTCATGATAGCATCAAGAAAAATGAAGTATTTATGAATCAATCTAACCAAGGAAGAAAGACCTCCACATTAAAAGCTACAGTACTCTAAAGAAGGAGATTGAAGAGGTTATCAGAAAATGGAAAGATGTCTCCTGTTCTTGGATAGGTAGAACCAACATAGTGAAAATAGCCATACTTCCAAAACTGTTCTACAGATTTAATGCAATCTCAATCAAAATTCTAAAGCATTCCACTTTTTTTTTTCTTTTCTGTGGTACTGGAGGTTGAACCCAGGGCTTTCTAAGCAAAATAGTAATGTTTTTCTGTGATCATTTTAAGTAATGCCATGGATACCTTGGTTTTGTCCAATACCACTTCCTCAGCTTCTTTGAAATTACAGATGGGGAGTAGTAAAGTTTGAAGGGCATTGAAAGTTTCTTTCCCTTGTTGGCTTCCATCCCATGGAGGTGGTAGCCAGGAAGAATGGCCACTGGAGAAGACCCTCGAAGTCTCTTTCACTTGAATCACAGCTCTCTACTATAAAATCTGTAGCCACTGAGCTCACTCGTATTAATAATAGCTGTTAGGTGCTTACTTGTTTCAGGCATCATGCAGGATTTTCTCTTTGTTTTCAATGTCTGCAACAAACTACAAGGTCAACATAGAACTACACTCACCAACAGAAACATAAGGCAAGTCACAAGGGTAATTTAAAATTTTCCAGTTGCTACTTTAATGAAATGAAAACAGGTCCACTTAACTGCATTACTATTATTTATTTAACTCCACATATCCAAAGTATTATCAATTTCTGTGTGTAATCAGTGCAGTACTAGCAATATATTTTATGCTCTTATGATGACATCTCTGAAATCTAATGTATATCTTACACTTACAGTGCATGTCAAGTCTTTGGTGGCCAAAGATGTCAAGGGACTACCACATCAGAGAGCTTAGAGCTGGAAGATAACGGGACAAGCTCTAGTGCAGGCTTCCTGTCCTTGTATCCACTATTGGCTCTGCCACTTACTAGCTGTGTGACCTTGGTGGGGCTCCTTAATTTCTCTTTGCCTTGGTTTCCCTCATTTGTAGAATGGGCAATAACAGTTTCTCCTTCAAGGGCTGCTGTGAGTTGACCTAGCATGTATAAATGCCAACAACTGTGTTCCCAGAACACAGTAAGCTTTCCATGTGTAGGTGCCATATACACTTGAAGACAGGCCCAGAGGGATGCGTATGCCCAAAATCACCTGCAAGGGAGCTGGAATTTTAACTTGAACTGTGTGACTCCATACACTGTGTGCAAAACTGCTCCCCTAGCCTGCCTCAAAGCCTTATGTTTTGGGAACCCCTTTGTGGAACTCTGAAAAATCCATTCTGGGGGTTGGGGAGAAGCCTTAGTGAAAATATTCCCACCGTGTATCATTTCAAGCCACCAATAGTTTGACAGGTCCAACATTTCTGAAGAATGAACAGTTGGCCCATGAAGTAGCCTCCAGCATACCACTGCCTCTTACACAGTGAGTTCTTCTGGCTCTCATACCTCCCTGCTTCTGGTGTGATGCTTTCTTTCTGTACTTACTCTGTAAATCTGCAAGCATTGCTCAAAGGACTTAGCACGGGGCTGCATTCCACTGAATATTTGTTGATTGTGTTCTGAAGTCTCAGAAGCTTAGATTGGGCTTTCTCTTGCCAACTCTCCCTCAAGTAGGAAGGTGCTGAGGGCCACATGGACATGCCTTGTGATCCAGGACCAGTATCCTCGATCTTGGCCTCCAGTCCTGGATATTTTTAGCTGCAGCCTCAAATCCCCAAACTATCACCTACTAATTACTAAACTGGGGATTAGCTTTTGGATTTAGGCTGGACATGAATGTGTTAGCGCCTACTTTCCTTTCATGAGATGATGAGCCAGGCCTTCACCACAACTTGGCCCTAGGGGGCAAATGTCTACAGTTTCTCAGGGAGCGTGGAACCCTAACCTACTGTGCCCAGCCTTTTCTCTCTCTTGCTTTTCTTGTTCCTGCTGCAGTTCTCTGTGCACTGAGATGGACAAGAGAATGGGTAGCTCTGTCTTTGTAATGGAGCACAGCAAAATCGTAAACATAGAGCTTCCCCAAGCTGTTGATCGAGTGCAGGATACCTTGGGATGGGGGAGGTGTGTTTTACTTAAGACAATAGCTCTCAGGTACATTTGGATCTTGAACTCCTCCACCACCTACCTGTATCTCTGTCAGTTTTCCCGCGTATGCTGAGCTCTGATCATGCACCTTGCTTTATCTTACTCAATTTTCACAGCAGCTCTGTTCAGTAGACCCTTAGGTGAGTCCATTTTACTTATGGCATCCTGAAGCTTGGGTCACACATCTACTAAGATCACACGACTGCTAGGGGATAAATACTCCTGTATACCAGCTAGCAGGGATGGAGATGAACACGAGATATGTAAGAAGCTGGCCTCTATGTATGAGAAACACAAAGCTGTAATGGGTATGCTGAGCAGGGTGGCACCTAACAGTTGCAGGCGGGGGGAGATTGTGTTCACTTTGGGACTCAGCACAGAAGTGGCACCATCGTTGCCCATTGGTTTTCCATTTGCTCATTCATGTGTGGATTCATCTGTGCAGGTTTGAACATTCCTCCATGCTGGGCAGTAGATATTATAGGCCAAGTAGGACACAGACCCCACCGTCTGGCCTCCAAAACTGTGGGACAATGTATTTCTGTTATTTTAAGCCTCTCAGTTTATAGCACTTTGTTATAGCAGCTCCAGCAAACTGATGCACAAAGAGGCCACCTAGGAGCAGTGGGCCAGACAGATGGACACAACACAAACGTGGCCTACCATGGAGGAAGCAGTGGGATAAATACCCAGAACTCTCTCCAGTTCCTCTTTCTAGTTTCCATTTCCTGCTTCCCGGTAGCTGTATCCATCCAGCTGCCAGAGGGCAAAGAAGCTTGGCAACGTGGTCCACAGAAATCAGCCTCCCAGGCACAGAGAATCGTTGATAGTGGTGGTGGTGGTGGGGATCTGGAGGGCAAGGAGAGTAGACCCTGTCCATTAAGTCGGAAAAATATTGGAGAATGAATGAATGGGAGCACGTGATGGAGACAGAACTACAGGTAACCACTGTCTGCTGGCGACTTCATGACATCACTATTTCTGTAGGGAGGAGAGAAGGAGTTAAAGGTTTGAACACTAGCTTCCAGCCCTCCCGTCTGGCTCTGCACCCGGACTCTGAGTGTGGTGAAACCTCTCTCTTTCTTCACACAGCCAGCACCTCTAGGCTGGATTCTATTTTAAGACTGTTAAGTGAGGTAACTTGGTACAACAAGAGAAAAACTGCCGTAACTATGAAGTGCCAACCTCCAAAGCAGAAAAGTCTTCTGGCCCCGAGGGCTGCCAACGTGAAAGACTTGGAGGACGTGCATGCTTGTGCTGGGCTGGGCCAGAGTGCCCTTCTGAGACAGAGAGGACCATGTGGACGGTGCTTTGAGCCTGGTGAAAGGAACATTTGGGTGATTCAGCTCCTGGGTCTTCATGAGGCCTGGACATCCAGCTGTTGCTGCCAGCTGTGCCAACCACTGTGGTGATTCAGGATAGTACAGGCTAGGGCCACCAGTGGATGGGCCAGCAGAACAAACGGGCCAAATCTTTTCCTCTGCTGGGTCTCCAGCTTTGTCAGAGCCCCCGAAGCTGGGTTTTTGTGTCACTGAGCATCAGAGACACTTGGCGTGTGGACTAAAGTATAATTTCCATTCCAAATGCAGGTGTCTTGTCTAGTACAGGCCAGAGAGACAAAATTGTACTGTTACTTGACTTGTTCCATCTGAGATCATTAGAAGAACAAGTTACGCTACTTGCTTCTAGGTTTCTT